CTGTCACTGCCATTCGAAGACAAAGTTGCTGCTTTAGGGATAATTTCTGGCACTTCTGCAAGATCATAGAACCATAGAATGGTTTGGATTGGAGGGACCTTAAAGCTCACCCAGTCCCAACCCCCTGCATGGGCAGGGACACCTCCCACCAGCCCAGGCTGCTCCAAGCCCCATCCAACCTGCCCTTCAACACTGCCAGGGAAAGATGTTTCAATGCCTCTGCAGTTTCCCCAGTTTGAGGGCATTTTGAGGCCCTTTGCTCACACAGGCAGGAAGCTGAGCCACAAGGGATCTCTCACTGTAAATTGCCAGTAATTTGGAACACATGATTCACCCTGCATTTCCAAATGGTTCCCCTACACCCAAACAAAGTCTAAGGTCTGTCAGAACAACTTGCACCGAGACATTCCCTGATGTTCCAGGGAAGAAAAGGAGCATTGTTCCTCCCTGAGCAGAGGGCAGGCAGCAGCCCTGCAGGGACAGGGAGAAGCAGCTTTGTGAAGAGGCTGAGCACACAGGGGGCTGAGCAGAGCTTGCTGCTTGCTAGGACCTTTTGTATGAAGAAAACAGGAAGGGACACCCAGTGAGGTTGCCCAGGGCCCTGAAGGCACAGTTAGGACACAGATTCTGTTCCTCAGCCTGCAAAAGGCTCCCTGGGCAGCTGGCAGCCTGCTGGGCCTCCCTGTGCCTCAGTTTCCAGCTCTCAACCAGCTGCTCTGGTTGGTAAAACACTGTCCTGACAACAAACCCGTGGCAGGTCCCGTGCCAAGGGGACAGCCCTGCTCTGCAGCCACCTGAGAGCCCAGCTCAAGCACAGAGGGAGCCTTGGGCAGGGACTGAACCCTCACTGCTCAACCCCTAATCCCCCAGAGCAGCAAACCCATCCCTCCCCTGCCAGCTCGTCCTGCTGCTGGCCAGGAAAAATGGGTAAGAATCTCTGCTAGAGCAGGCAAAGCTCTGCTCAAGTGCCTCTCCCTGGGAGAACTCCCAGCTGAGTTTTCAAGTGTCTGCACTTATGTCTGGACCTACTTAGGTATGTTTTGTATCCCTGCTTAGCAGAATAACAGTGCAGCAGCTGCCCAGTGTCCTGCAGACCAGACAGGCAACCTGGCAAGGTTCAGGTGGCCCCTTCAGGCCCCAGCCTGGCCAAGCCCTTCAGCAGAGCTGCCCGACCATCCCCTGGCTGGGACAGTGCAGAGCAGCTCTGACATCCTTGGTGGGCTCCTACCAAAGCCAAAGCTGATGTGAAATGAGGCTCATGAGACTGTGTGGAAACCAGGAGCATCCCTGAGGAGCTTCATGTCTTTTAGTGGAGCCTGGGGCTCTGGGGTGTTCAGATGGGCTGGTCCTCATGGGCTGAACTGGCTGAGGGACACAAGCCAAACCAGCTCTCTCACAGGGAATCCTATTAGCTGTAAATAGCACCCAGTGCAGGGAGAGGGTGAGGGCAAGTTTCTTCTGCTAAGATCAGAGCAGCAGAGAGGTTTCATCCCAGATCATGCATGTTACACCCAGGGGGACAGAACAGCTGCCAGAAGAAGGCAGTAGCAAGTCCATCCTGACAGCAAAATCATCTCAGCCAGAAAAGCAAACCAAAATCAAAGGCAGGTCATTCTCCCCAGCAAGGATTCAGCTCTTCCAGCCAGGATCACAGAACCTTAGGGGTTGGAAGGGACCTGGTTTCCTTGCACTCTAAATTCCTTATTCCAGCAGCTGTGCCCCATCCAGCTGTGGGACTGAATGGTTTGGCTTCCTGAGAGCTGGGGAAGCCTTAACAATCAGCAGGGAAACATCTCCAAGGCAGGAGAGTCCACTAAAGAGGGAGGGAGAGGAGCTGCCTGATGCCCTCAGGGGAGTTGGCTTCATTTCCACATCAGACAGAAGCCATCCTGCTTCAGGTGCCTGCAGGTGACACTGTCCACAACCTTCTTGGAGCCTGAAAGAAAAGGGAAATGCACTGGCCTGACCTTGGGGTTTCTTTGGCTCCTTTTAGCAGGGTGTGAGGATGCTGGCCCTGGGGAAAGCACCAGCCTGCTGGGTGCTCTGTGAAGTAGAATGGCATGAGCTGCAGAGGGGACAACTCTGCTGCATTCCCCATGCCCACCCAGGAGATAAGGAGGCAGCAGCACGGACAGAGAGGGCACAGGAGGCAAAGGAACCAAAGAAACTTGCCTGTTGCATCGTGGCTGTGCTGGGTAAATCCCCAGGATTATTGACCAGAGGTGCAAGATTGAGACACAGCATCAGTGACCCCAAAGAAACTGGGACTGGCTGCAGGTCCCAGGCACCTGTAGGGTTGCACCTGAGATTTGCACACACACCAGGAGTTTGCTGGCAACTTATGGACATCAATGCAGAGATTTGGGAAGTGTGTCCTTTGTTTCCAGGTATCTAAGCACCCAAAAAGCCACCTGGCTAGAAGAGATGCTCCATCCAAAGAGCAGACACTGAATCAACAAGGCAACTCCTGCTGGGGTTGAATTAAGTCTGACTTTTTAAATCCATTTTTATACACCAACACGAGGCCCAGGAGCCACTCACTTCCAGCCTTCCAGCCCCAGGAAAAAAAAAGACCCGTTGGCCACTCTTTCACATTAGGGAACTTCCATAAATAAGAGATCCCAAGTGGGAGGTGTGAGAATGAATCAGTTTTTATGGTGGGATTTTTTTTTTCCCCCCAGCTGAGCAATCTGTGGATAAAACCAGACAGTCAGGGTGGGGCTGGCACTGAATGGAAAACTGTTCCTTGCTGCTATTATTAATTATACTATTAATATGCAGGTGGCTGTTACTTTATGCCCAAGAAGGATCTACCCAGAAGCAGAGGAAGAGGATCCTGAAGCAAAGCAATACCTGTGCTGGCTGAAAATGAGACTGGGATACCCTGGGGAGGAGAGGCTGGGGGATTTACAGGGTTACACAGAGCAATCAAAGGAGACCTGTGGCTGGCATGGAGCTGGGAGGCTCAGGTTTCATCCCCAGTTTGTTTTCCCTGGGCTGGCTGGGCTGCTGAGCCTGGGAGGGATGTTCATCTTCTGTGAGGGATGGAGTCTGGAGGCAGGATGGGGTGAGGAAGCACTAAACACAAACCAAAACGAGCTGTGGGCTGTAAGAAGGGAAGAAAATCCCACACCAAGAGACTTTTCTTGCCAGCAGGTGAGAAGGCAAACAGCAGCCACTGCTTGGTCTCAGCACGAGCAGCCCCAGTTTTCCTTCCTTCTCAGCTTGCAGACAGGAAATGATGCTCCGTGGTCTCCAGGATGCAGGGCCCGGCTGGGCCTGCCCTGCCAAAGCAATACCTGTGCTGGCTGAAAATGAGACTGGGATACCCTGGGGAGGAGGGGCTGGGGGATTTACAGGGTTACACAGAGCAATCAAAGGAGACCTGTGGCTGGCATGGAGCTGGGAGGCTCAGGTTTCATCCCCAGTTTGTTTTCCCTGGGCTGGCTGGGCTGCTGAGCCTGGGAGGGATGTTCATCTTCTGTGAGGGATGGAGTCTGGAGGCAGGATGGGGTGAGGAAGCACTAAACACAAACCAAAACGAGCTGTGGGCTGTAAGAAGGGAAGAAAATCCCACACCAAGAGACTTTTCTTGCCAGCAGGTGAGAAGGCAAACAGCAGCCACTGCTTGGTCTCAGCACGAGCAGCCCCAGTTTTCCTTCCTTCTCAGCTTGCAGACAGGAAATGATGCTCTGTGGTCTCCAGGACTCAGGGCCAGGCTGGGCCTGCCCTGCCAGTTTGTGCTGAGTCCATGAGGGCCCAACAGAACTAATTCTAGGGCCCAACAGAACTAACTCAAGGGCCCAACAGAACTAGCTCTCTGTGCACCCCAACAAGGGGGACTGACAGCAATCAATCAGCACTCCCCGTGCCCCTCCAGGCTCCCAGTCTCTGGAATTTCTTAGTCCTTCTCACCCCTTGTCTCACCAGCCTCCCCAGCAGCAGAATAAGCAAGAAAAGGACTCTTCCAAAATTCTGTTTTCCCGACCAAGGTGAATTTTAGTGCCCAAAAAAGACCACGATGGGTAAGAAAACAAGCAGCCAGCCAGCTCTTTGTCAGCCCCTGCCAGGAATGTGCGTCCACAAAGCAGATTTACAGGCTTCCCCACAGGCTTCAGACACAGAGGCTTCATCTGCTCAGCAGAGGAGCCAGTTCTAGGGAGCCAGCTCTGCTCTGTTCTCAGTTCCAGGGAGGCGGCTCTGCTCTGTTCCCGGTTCTAGGGAACCAGCTCTGCTCTGTTCTCAGTTCCAGGGAGGCGGCTCTGCTCTGTTCCCGGTTCTAGGGAACCAGCTCTGCTCTGTTCTCAGTTCCAGGGAGGCGGCTCTGCTCTGTTCCCGGTTCTAGGGAACCAGCTCTGCTCTGTTCTCAGTTCCAGGGAGGCGGCTCTGCTCTGTTCCCGGTTCTAGGGAACCAGCTCTGCTCTGTTCTCAGTTCCAGGGAGGCGGCTCTGCTCTGTTCCCGGTTCTAGGGAACCAGCTCTGCTCTGTTCTCAGTTCCAGGGAGGCGGCTCTGCTCTGTTCCCGGTTCTAGGGAACCAGCTCTGCTCTGTTCTCAGTTCCAGGGAGGCGGCTCTGCTCTGTTCCCGGTTCTAGGGAACCAGCTCTGCTCTGTTCTCAGTTCCAGGGAGGCGGCTCTGCTCTGTTCCCGGTTCTAGGGAACCAGCTCTGCTCTGTTCTCAGTTCCAGGGAGGCGGCTCTGCTCTGTTCCCAGTTCCAGAGAACCAGCCCTGCTCCCCTTCACATTATTCACCGGGAGCAGAAGGAAAACTCGGAGCTGAGCCCAGCAGCTGTGAAACAGCCACAGACTCTCCAGAAAACTGTTGCTGGTTTGCAGAGGGAGCCCTGAGCTGGTGACCAGCAGCTCTCCCACCGCTCTTGCTGGTTTCCCCCCTCCCCAAAGCGCTGCAGGAGCCGCGGGATGGAACCGTTCCCGAGAGGTTCCCAGACCGGGCTGCCTCGCCCCGGGGAGCCCCGCGGGGGACACGGGACACGCGTGTTACCTCGGTGAAGCCCTCCTGGAGAATATCCAGCAGGTTCCCCCTGGCCAGGCAGGCGAGCATCCTCCCGCAGCGCCCCGGGGATGCGGGGCTCCGGGGGCAGCTCCTGCTGGCTGG